ACTTCCTTGCAGTTTCCCACGGGAACAAACTGTCAAAATAATATCTTTTTCTACAACTTAATTGCATTTTTCGTGTACTTTAAGCTTTTGGGCGGGTGCTTCAGCAAATGTAGGCCATCAAGTGCCAAATGTGAATTTCCATTACTGTTCGGGTGACCTATTCGGCTATCAGACGGCAGACTTCGCACGGCTATGTTACTCCCTTTGAGGAGCGCAGCGCTCTTGACCTTATAAGGAAGCCGTACTAGCGACTTAAGCCTCTTAACACCCTATTAATGTCAGTAAGCGCCAAAAGGAGCTGCTCGAAGCTAATCGTTTTCAAACCCGGAAAGCTGCAGTGAAAGAGAATGGGCGCCGATCCGATTCTAGGGCGCCACCATGGAATGTTAGCTCGTTCTGGCGCCTCCCGGCACATGCTGCTGTCGGCACTGCGGTGCCCACATAATGTATGGAGGACGGTGGCCCACGACTCCCACCGCCTTTTGTGCCCATTCCACACAGACATAATTGTTTAGAAGACACGTGCAAAGCATTGTTGGAACCGGGGGTGCAGCTTAAACAAACAACTTCCTGGCACCAACGGAGCTGCCTGGATCAGCCACGCTTACAATACAACACACCGACCTTATGACCCTCACACCACATACATACCCGTGGCAGCAATTAAACGGGTATATGGTAATGGATAATAGCATCCCTAGTCCCTACCCTACAACAGATGCAGTGTAACCGCCAGCCACAAAGCATCCGGTCCAACGTGTTCAGGGGTCAGCCCAGTTCATTGTGATTGAAACTCATCGGGAAAACACCTACTGGGCACCTCGGCCGGCATTTTATAACGTAATTCCCGACATATCCGGGACAGATGCATTATTCCAGAGGCATACCCGTACAATGAACACAATAGTGGGAATAACAATGTTCTCGGAACCCGTCAAACGTCACAAGGCTCACGTCACACCAACTTCGTCGATACCAATTGAATCATCTGACCATTTGTTTTTGATTACTCGGCTCACGTCCACGGGCCAACATTGACTCACAATTGACTTGACCAGACATCCAAATACCGTAAGTGCAAAGAGCGAAAATTGAGGACATCCTTTCCCACGCGGCGACACCGGGACCCGGCCGGTCACCTCCCTGGTGAACCTCTGCCGCCGCCCGCGGCGCCCAGTTCCCATCGTACTACTGTCCGGTTGCGCTCGCCCGCTGCCCCGGGGCGCCGGGGCGACAGGAAGTTCCCAATCGGGCCTGAGAACGCCCCGGCCACCAGCGGCGGCGGCGACAGACTGGGGAGGGCAGTGACGGGCCGGAGAGGGAAATGACGGTCCGAGGAGGGTCGGGGAGAGCCGCACACACCGGCCACGTCACGCGGAGCACGGCTGGGAGATGGAGCGGCGCCCATCGCAGCGACACTGATCGACCGGCCGCGCGGGTCGCCGCCCCGGGTCAATGTGGCACCCGCCGCGGAGCGGGGGAGGGCACGGGCCGGCCGGGGAGCGAGCGTGGGCAGGCCACGGCATGCCCGCGCCCCGCACAGGAGACTCCCTGACGACAGCTCTGCCAGGCTATGAGTTTGGAAGCGGGGGCAGGCACTATGAATGAATGCCGTCGACAATCAGCAGCCTGACAGACCAGCGAAAAGCCCGTGAATAGGTACATCAGGTCTTCATCACCGTCAGCGATTTCTGTACTGGAGGAGCCAGGACAGGCCCGTGGTTTCAGTCATCCATTGGCGCCAGTAGCCCCGTTAGGTTTGCGATCCGTGCCACTAACGCGGCAGCAGGAGCGGTCCGAAAGCTGTGGCATGTCAGTCAGACCGCAAATGCCGCTTCCCGATCGGAATGAACCGAAGAGTACTACGTGACTTGTAACAATATGGTATGCATTACTGCCATGTATTTTTTATTGAAGAAAACCGTTGGCATAACGCATATATGCACAAATAATATTCCTGAGAATACCGATACCTACAAGCGGTATATCACTTCAGTGAGGGTTGATTTTTCAAAAGCACACCGCAAAAAAATACGGTGATGCCATCAAGTGCCACACAACTGAGAAAGGGAAAGTTAACCTTTTTCTAACGAGATCGGGTGTAGTTTAATCTTCGCTTATAACCGTTTGACATCATTAACCGTAAGAGTCAAGAGCTAGATATTACGAGCCCCATGCCACTTCAATGAAGTGTCGCAGACCACAGCGCCACAAAATGTATCCAAAGCTTTTTGCCAATCAGTATTGGAAATGTGCTTGAATGGTGAGAAATGGTGTCAGGACAAGAATGACTCTCGACATGGATTGCCTGGTGGTGATGATGTGATAGGACATAATCAGGGCTCAGAACAGCCTGACCAGCGAGCTACTGGGGAACACAATTTTATACTCAGCAGCGGTCAAACTATTTTAACCGATATCGGTCGTAAAATTCAATTCAAAAGGCATAATAGGATAACCTATGGCAGTGTAGGAATATGTTTGCTAGCAAAGCATTTCATAAAAAGCGAACAAACAGAAGGATTCAAATATCTCTACCATTCTAAAAGAAAACTCAAGTTAAGGCATCATTGGACTGGATAAACATCCCTCTCCGGCACTGTTTATCATGGTCATGGCCAGAAATTAATTCCATGATCTCAATATTGGGGATGCTGGCAGATGATTGGTTATGTAGTGAAGCCAGTATAAGAATCAACTGGCAGAGCTGGGCAGTAACCCAACCTAACCTAACCTAACCATTGGACACACTGGATGGGAAACAGTGGTGCATGCCAAACAAACTGATAATTATATCATGAAATGTGGAATGTGGCAAACAAAACAGCTCACTGGATGTCTTATCAAACATCCCACAAACATACTGCCACTCCCACCATACTTGGTTATGGACCAGCATAATAATCAGAAGTTATTAGTAAGACTAGTAGCTGTAGTAAGCAACACCTAGTTGTAGGTAGCAACTTATTACCAGATTCCAACACACCTACCAGCTACCAGACAGGTTGGGATCACATCAATAAAGAACATTTTAACATCAAATCATTATGATACAATATCTTTTTTTTAATGTTAAAGGGACCCTCCCACCTTCAAAAAAGTTAATGAATTGGCACGAAAGTGATGTCGCTCGGTTCAGAAAGAGCGAAAACGAATATCTACCAAATTTCATCGAAAAATATTCACCGGTTTTCAAGATATTAAACTTTTACTTTTGTTTACTTTTTGGGATCTCCGCTGTTCCTAGCGACTTTATTTGAAAGCGCGGCATTTGTTGCGCGCAAAGCAGCATATACCACCGCGTGCTACCAAACGTTTTAGTAAAAGATTTAAAAATCGTTAGATCTCCGCTGACGTCACAAATTCTAAGGGGGCATACCAATGCACTAGCCCCTTAGAATCCGAAAACTGCAAGTTTGAAATTCCATATCTCCGAATTAAAGCATTTGTCGATGTTGTGAGTGCCCAAACCGGTATTTGCAGGCCATGGCCACCAATTTGGCTATCTCAACTCAAAACTAATGTTAAGGTGGGAGTGTCCCTTTAAATAATTACCTACTAGGTGATCCTGCTAGCCAATCTTTGATTCATTCATCAGCAAATAAATGTAGAACATGCAGTGCAATACCTAGTGACTACTACTAGACTATTCTTAAGCAAATGTGTTATCCCACAAGAGCATATTTTTGAAAGTTAGTTTTCATGACTATTGGAGAAGTGCAAAAATTTGGAAAATAATCAGCTTTGTAGTAAAAAATGACTAATCATATATCACTGTCATATAGCATTTGAAAAAAAAAATCAATGCCAAATTAAATGGTGCAATAAAAGTGCTTGCTATTTATCCAAAATAATGTCACATATCTAGCACATGTTCAATGTTTTATGCATCTTGTTATGAAACTGATTGTGTGCATTGCTGTAACTTGTAACAGTAGGTACCTACACAATATGTCATCCTGATCCCTAACTGTCCTGAAAGCAGAAGTGCTTGACAATGAGCTGCCAGGGAATATATTGTTATTTATACAGCCAATGCTACTTATGTACACAATTATGAGATATGGTCTTTGTAAAAATGATACTTCATGACCACCACTTTTCAGATGCCATATTTATGACCTGGTGCATCATGGAGCTCTAAAATATCACAAACCTGAAAAAAATGTGACCTTAAATCTGCTATTTATGCTACTAATTTTACTTGCTTAAATTGAACCTTCTAAACACATTGGCACATAGCACTAAGCACATGCATAATGACAAGCTTGCAATGATGTCTGATAGCAATATTCATTTGACAAACAAGTCATTCCACTAGAAACTTTGGTAGTAGTAAAGCAGGCATCACACTTGTGTTTTGCAGCCAAGGAGAGGTGCTATAGGCTGTTAGGTTGTAGGACTAGGCTTTGGATTTTAGGGTGTAGGTTTTAGGTTTTAGGCTGTAGGTTTTAGGCTGTATTGTATTATATTGTATAATGTATTGTATTACCATCATGGACAATCCACTAGTAGGGGCATGGCAATTACAGTCCACAGTGTATAGGTGTACAGTATACAGTCCACAGTGTATACAGTGTATGGGTAAGGTTAGGTCAGGCTTAGTTAGGTTAGTTTAGGTTAGGTTAGGTTTGGTTTGGTTTGATTAGAAAGCATCTCTGGGTACGGCACCTCTTCTTGGTTGCAAAAAAAAAAACAGTCAAAGTGTGATGCCTGCTTTACGACTACCTACCGAATCTTCTTCCTTATAAAATTCCATACAAAAGAAACACCAACACTGCCTGGATTTTGATTTCTCCAGCTCTTGTCTCCTAAATCTCAATCACATAGCTTCATATCAATGAATGGTACTCAACGAAACATTTGATTCATACCTATTGCAGGTCATGCAAATTGCAATCACAATCAGAGTGAGTAGACTAAAGGAGGCGGAGGGGAAACGTTAAATTGAGTGTGTGTAACTATAACAATAGCATGATTCAGATTCTGCTTTGACTTACGATGAGACGACAGAAGCGGGATGACAGAATATTGTATCCTATCACTAAAAGTAACGCAGAAAACCCGCACGAAATTGAAATACAACTAATCGTCGACCGCTTCGGAATATCCGGAATATCTTGTCCAACAAAGCGTTCCTGTCAAAAATGCACTGCTTAAACTGCTGCTAAATATTAAGTTCTGAATATGTAGAAACTTGATATTTTTTCTGTTATTGACATTTTAAAATCCACTAAAGTTAAGATGATTGAGCTTCATTGTCTATTCTCAGATGAAAACCGCACATTCATAGCGTGAAAATTTACTTTATGCTGTGATATATTGCTTAATATCTTTTAAGTACTTTCAAGAATATTGCAGTAAATTTAAAACAATTTTCTCCAGAATGTCTTCAGCGCGCAGTTTTTGTACTCATAATACCGATGTTTTTCAAGCTGTTCTATCGGTTCTATTTGGCGCATATTCGTTCAGTAAGCTAGTATCATCAAATCAGCGACCGACACTTGCATCGTGGGCTCTTCGAGCGAGCAGCTTTGAACACAATATCCTTCAAAATAGCATGCGGACTGTACCGATGGCTGGGTGTATTTTCACCAGATTTTTTTTATCTATAGAAAAGTGAAAGGCCTCTCGTTGTTGATATTTCCATAACGTTCAAGAAGAGGATACGCTGTGTAAGTTTTTGATTTATTTTTTATTCATTTGCTCACGTTTGTGAGCAAAGCATAGCAACGTAGCCACGGTAGCCACTGTGGTTATGCTAGTGGCCCCGTTCTATAGCCTTGGTGGCCCCTAGTAGCCTTAGGCCTTTATAAAGAAAGGAAACTGGTGTGACGTGTGACTGCATCTGCCGGCTACTAACACACTTTCTTTGATGCTTTGCAAGAAAGCAATCTTTCTGTCACCTAAGACATCTGCTGTGTAAAGGCAAATTTGACAATTTTGGGTCAGAGGCCATTAACTCATAGTCAGGTCAGAGGAGGTCACCAAAACATAATCAGGTTGTCTTTGCACGGCAGAATTAACCTACTGTGTATGAGCTGAGGATGAAGTCCCCCTTTGCACCCTAGGCTCAAAATGGAATAAAAACCTCACCATATTGTCATGAACCATATATCAACCTATCAACCTAACCAATGGATCATACGATTATTTATTGCAATGCTAAACAAATTAGGTAGGTACCAGACAAGCAGAAATAACAAAACCCATTCTAACCTGACCTAACGTTTCTTAACCCGCGCACTGACGGGGGTCTGCGCCAACTTAGTACCGACGGGGGGGGGGGGGGGGGGGGGGCGGATGACCGCCCCCCTGAGATCTCGAGAATGAAGCAAGATAGCGACAAGCGGTAAACGGCATCGGATACGCACGGACAAGGTCTACAATTTTTACTAAGGTCATTTTCAGGTCAGGTCAAAGATGACGTCACAGGGGTCGAAAAAGTCAAAATGGCGGCGCTAGATATCGAGAGGGTTTTTCTCAAATAACTTTCGAAGTAGTCAAGATAGGAACAAACTAAGGGCATCATCGTGATCCTCTCGTCAATCCGCATCGAATGATATATATGTTGACCTCGAAAGGTCAAGGTCAAAGGTTGAACTCAGGTCACGTGACCTCGAGGTCATCATGTATATCATTCGATGCGTCTTGACGAGCTGAACACAATGAGACCATCCGCGCGGCTGTATCTTGTTCCTGTAAGGAGTTATTGGCAAAAAAACCTTTGGTGACCTTTGATGACGTCACATGACCTTACAGCTGCCCAACAGCAAAACAGACCTCAAGGTAGTGAAGGTTGATCGTATGTGAAGTCATGTATGGTATATGGGGCCATTCCGACCCGTTTTAGTGGTAAAAACAGGGAGTTGATTTTTCCCCCATTGACTTGTAATGGGGAGGTCGCGAAATTGACCTGACCTTAGGTCACCGACATCAAAATTCCGATATATACAAATTGTAGCTACTAATGACCTAATAACATCCTGCGACTTTCAAAGGCCTCCGACATCTACTGTAGCTCTGGCACGGTGACAAAGTTGCAAAAAAGTGACTTGAGGTTGGGTCATTCAAAGTGACCTGGTGAACTGACCTTAAAAGTTAGGAGGTTCAAACTTGCACACCATGTGTAAAATTGATGAGAGAATAGTCATACCAAATTTCGCGGCGCTACGCGCCGCGGTTTTCCCGCTATCCGCGAAAAACCTCAGGGGGGGCGGATATCCGCCCCCCCCCGTCGGTGCGCGGGTTAACATAACTTTACCTGACTCAATGTGTGGTTGGGTGTAACTTATAAATGTCCTGTGTAGAAAGTAGTAGAAGTATTGATATGTGGTCTCAGTTTCAGGTTTAGGTTCAGGTTTAGGTTATGAGCTAGGAGTAGACACTGTCTATTTGGTGCTCATATCGTGGAATGCACTAATCAGAGGATGAGCTTTAGTGGTCGACTAGGGTAGCCCAATGTCGGTCAAGTCTCTTCTTGAAGGCACTAGTACTTGGTGCTGACACAACATAGTCTGGCAGCTCATTCCAAGGGGTGACTACTCTGTTAGCAAATGACATGTTTCTGAAGTGGTGCATTGACCGTCTTTTCTTCAACTTAAATCGATGACCCCTGGTTCTTTCATGGTCTTGAAATTCAAAGAATCGTTCTGCATCTATATCAACTTTTCCTGTTACAATCTTGTAAGTCTCAATTAAGTCACCACGCTTGAGTCGATCTCGCATGCTCATCAGATCAAGCCTCGTCAGCCGTTCTTCATAGGGATAGGCTCTAATTTCCCGTACAAGCTTGGTAGCTCGTCTCTGAACTTTTTCAAGCTTTTGTATATCTTGAACCATGTGAGGACCAACCGCAGACAGGCAATAATCTAGATGCGGGCGAACATAAGTGGTGTACAAGGACCTGAAGTTGTTGACATCAATATTTCTGAAAGACATTTTTAAAAGCCTTAGTGCAGTCATTCCTTTCAGTGCCGCAGCTTGGCAGTGGCATGTTGCTTTCAGGTTGTTGGCTACAATCACGCCCAGATCACGTTCGTGAGTTGTAGTGCAGATCGTCCTGGCTTCATCATTACCTTTCATGACATAGTCCTCTGCAGGGTTCATATATCCACAATGCATGATCTTGCACTTTTCAACGTTGAACTTAAGCAGCCACTGATCTGACCATTCAGATAGCCTGTCAAGGTCTGCTTGCAGTGTTGCACAGTCCTGTTGGGTTACTATGTCTTTGAACAGTTTTGTGTCATCTGCGAACAGTTTACAGCCACTCTGCACCAGGGTTGGAAGCTCATTGATGTAGATCAAAAACAAGGTCGGTTTCCAACCTTAGAAGGATGTGTTGTTTCTTTTATGTGTCTGTTTTTTATGCATTTGTTTTGTGAATTTCTTCAGATTTTAAAGGTTATAAAGAGAGGAAATTACTGAGCTCAGCACTTACAGACCAGCTCCCATCAGCCCATTATTAGCAATTTAGCATTAATTCCAAGATTGTTATTGAAATTATAGCCAATAAGTATGCTTTGTGCTGACCTTTGACTATACCTTGCCATATTAAGTTACATCAAATTCCAACTTATAGGAATGCTACAGATATATATCATCCAGACCTTTCAACACTGCATGGGTCATCTTGCTGCAATGCTTAGTTTTTTTAGATGATATAAGTCGCACTTAATCTCTCACATAACACTTCACAGTCAGTACTCTAACTCAGTTGTGTTCAGCTGAAGCTTAACCATATATGTACTCTGCCCCTGGGATATATGTTAATCCTTTAATAGATAAGAGTCCAATCTAGCACTTTGGTCACAGGGATATTCTCAATTTACAGCAAGATGGATATTGACCAGCTAGAAGCAGAGGCCCAGCGGCTGGCACTGCAACAGGTTGCCAACATGCTGCAGCGGCCCGACCAGCTGGAAAAAGTTGACCAATATAAACAGAGGTAGGCTGTCACCTGTTCTTTCTTGTGAAATTATATTTGCTGGTTCCACTAATCAGATTTTCCTGCATTAAATTTTATTCTCATTCTGGACATTTTTCTTTTGTTAGAACAAAAGTGAAAAGTTAGCAGCTCTCTGCTGCCTTCTAACTTTACCAATATGTCAGTTATAATATCTTGCTTGTGAATTTTACTAGACTCTTCCAAGGCAAATACCTACCTAATTCTTATGCACAAGATTTGGAACTGATGTCTGGTGCACAATCGACTCACATTGGCATTGGTTCTGTCACAGGGTGATCAGGAAGAAGAACTCTGTTGAGGCCATGCTGAAGACAGCGATGCAGAGCCAGCTGGATGATGTGAAGCTGGGCCTGAACCAGTTGCAGGCAGCACTGCATGATATTCAGGAGTCCAGACAAAGGTACAAACCTCTGCTGGAACTTTGAGGGCCCAAATCAATCCTTGAGTGACTCACAATCCTTCATAATGGCCTGGAACTGATTGCCTGTATATTTGAGCACTCTCAGACCCAGTCAGGCCCTGACTGCAGTTCCAACTTCCAACCCCCCAGTGAAAGTCATGGCCACAAGAGCCTATGGCTCAATTAGGTATGTGTCTAGTCCCCCAACTGGTACCTATCTACCTTGTAAGTACGAGTACACCCTCAAGTACAAGTTTCCTGTCCCCATCTGCTGTAATTACCTCCAGTCACCTCACAACCCCTGAGCCTCTTGTCATCCCTGTGCTACTTTTGTGCCATTGTCACTCTGCTCTCTTACCGCCCCTTGTAGTTTCTGACCCAATGGTTTTCCTGACCCCTGTTGTCCCTGACTTCAGCCGATTCTGACCACCCCTCCACCATCTGACCTCAGTCTGCAGGAGATCGAGGCGGCGCTGGAGGAGGTGCCGGCCTTACTGCCGCAGTTCTCCGAGCTGCGAGAGGAGAGTCGCCTCCACCAGCAGTACGAAGCAGCCGTCTGTACCATGGACTTCACCCTGATGATCGACAAGTTTGTGGAGCGCGCACAGAAGGTCATGGATCAGGGCACCCTGCTGGCGGCGCACAAGGTCAGTCGGCTGGCCGGGGTTTGGTGGCTGGTGATGCGCCGGTACACTGGTCGGAGGGTATGGGGCGTCTGATGGCTCACATCACTAACTGAGAAGTGTGCAGATGGTGGGATGGCGCTCGCTGGCACTCTCGCATTATGACCCAATGTATGGAATGCAAGTATTTTTTTTTTTGCTAGAGTTGTTGCATTGATGGGTAAATGAATTTTTGCGGGTAGGTGTTGCACACTGTTTTGATCAGACACACATGAGGTTACTATCGAGCTATCCTCATGCTCTGTGAATAGTTACCAGTCAGACATTGACACTCCTTTCTCTGTGGTGTCGCGGCAGTATCTGATTGAGCTGGAGCGGACGCGGGACCGTCTGTTGATCGACCTTCTGCGGAAATTGGGCGGTCACAGCAGTGAGATGGAGCGGCTCAAGGCGCACTTCAAGGAGGTGGAGGCGCTCTCCGACCGGCTTGGTAGGTCGTTCGGGCTCAGCCACCGCGGGTGCGGTCAAATTGGCTGATCCACATACCTCGAGTCACTGAATCGCCGCCTTAAGCACGATGAACAATAGTTTTAGACGTAATGTAAAGTCTGCAGTTTCGAATCATCCCTAGATATATCGGAAATAGTTAAGACCGTTGGTTTGACGTGTTATCTCCCGATTTGTATGAAAAATGTGACGTCTAGCTGCAACCTAATCATGTCACCTGTTTCTGTGGGCCGAGTTGCGTGGGCTACAGCCGATCTGATCCCTTTGTCGTCGATGTGTCCGTTGGACTGATCGGACTCTGTGCCTCATAGATGACTGTATTTTCCCGGTCGTGCATTCGTCCGTATTTCACTCTGTCTGATTCTCAGTGCACCCCATCCAGGGGTCGCTGCATCCCCACCGCCTTTGACCGCCTCCCCCATGCCTCCAGGTAAGCAGCTGTGGCTGAAGCTGAGCCGCACACTGGCCACTGTGCGCCGTGAGCCGCAGGAGATCGTCACCGTACTGCGTATCGTCGAGCGGGAGGAACAGGCGGACGCTGAGCTGCGTGACGCCCTGACCACCGACTATGTGCCGCCGGGTCGGCCCAAACGCTGGCGGCAGCGCGCACTCCAGGTGGGCTCACGGCAGCGCCGGCTGGGGCTAACGGGGTCGGGGAGGAGTCATGGAAGAAAGACTTGTCATGGCACAGTTCAAGGTTAAAAATAATCTTGCTACTGACGTTATTAGGCTGGGTTAGGAGTTCTAAATGTGTTAGGGTTTGTAATTTGGGAGGAGAGGTGGGAGCCATGAACCGACTGCTAATCTTTATATGGTGTTATATGAATAATGACTTATGAGTAGGCGAACATGAATAATGAAAGGCGAAGCCGAGCGGCTAATCATGGACAGTAGATAGGATTGCAGTGTCGAAGCATCGAATCGCTTGTCACCCAACGACATGCTGCACGCTTCTGAGGCTAGACGATCAACCATAACCCTAGCTGACATCTCTAACAGGTTTTGGAGGAAGCCGTCAACACCCGTATCGAGGCGAACGCCTTCGAGAGCCGTGCCGACAACAAGATGTGGCTGGTCCGACATCTGGAGGTGAGGCTCGGGCGTAGGGAGTTCCGAACTGCGGTCTGTTATAATGGATGAGCGTTTTAGTAGTGAGATAACATCTGTTGTTGTTGTTGTTGTGTCCCTTGGCCCCGTCACCGGGGCGTAGTCGACCGACTCTGGTATGAGCGAAAGCCGGCGGCCAAGGCCGCCACCGCGTCGTCCTGGCGTAGGTCGGTGGGTTGGCCGTAGGTGTTGCCTAGTGCGTGGAGGCGGGCCCCGCACAGGCACGGGCAGCGCAGCAAGACGTGCTGCTGAGGTGAGCGTCGGCGTCCGGTGGCTATTTTGCAGTATCACGAAATGATCATGATCGTGACTGCCGTCGCTGCTACCTAGCCTTGTTGTTGTATAGTGCTGAGCCTGACAAATGATATCTCTAGGTGAAATACCCATCAGATGGACCTTTATGAGCAGTTACCTATCATGTCACTCTTCCTACCAGGTCTGCAGGCTGCTCGTTCTGGAAGACCTGCAGGTAGTGAAGAAACTCTGCGTCGCCTGCTTCCCGCCCCACTACGGCATCCTCAACACCTACGTTAAAATGTATCACACCGCCCTATCCAAACACGTAAGTTTGTTTTCAACGACCAACACTGCAACGAAACTCGTGGTTATTCCCTGGGTCGATGCATCCGGTGTTAAGGTCTGCTGCAGGGTGGCATTTGAGTGTGCCTTTGAATGTTGACAATCATGTTGATAGACCGTGTTTCATATCGCATGCTGTTAACACACTTTTGCTGTTAAAGTGCGCAACTAGTTCGTAATACGTTTACTTTATCGACGATACTGCAGGACCGGGCGGAATGATTTGCCAGAGTAGTTGATCGATCGAGGCCTGCTAAGCCTTAACCTCTACGTCTGCTGATGTTCCTCGCTTACCTACATCGCGCCGCCCAACAGCTGATGGAGACCATCTCGTGCGGCCTGGAGGGTAACGAGTACTTCACGCTGCTGTCGTGGACGCAGAACACCTACCTGGGTCCGGAGCTGCTGGGCCACCCGAGTCTGGCCATCAGCACCAAGGCGCTGCCGCCGCTGCTCGACCAGCATACGGTCGATACCCTCATCAAGGAGTATGTGGAGGTGGGTGACGGTCCGCGCAGGCTGCCGAATCCGGGCATAGGCTCAGTGTTATAGACGCCGCCCCTGACCGTGATAAAAGATGATTCCTTTGATAATGTTATGAAGGAGAACGTATAAAGAGAAATGTCGTTGATTTAAGTTATAAGAAAACCACACTGCTTTATGAGGTCAGTATGCCGCGCAGCGTAAGATGGTAAGTGCACGGGCTAGGTGGGGGCTTGCGTAAGCTTAGAAGTTATTACACGGTAGGCCTATCGTATTATGTTGTGATAAGTGTTCACTAAAGTCTGGGTAAACATCTTTTTCGTACAACACGTGAATTCACGCTCAGCTACATAACATTTTGCACCTGCAGAAAATCGAGACTAACTACCAGTCGTGGCTGGAGAAGACGGTGGCCCAGGAGGTATCGGACTGGCGCCGGGACGTGCCGCCCGACGCCGACGGAGACCTCTTCCAGACGGCCGCGCCGCTCATCGTCTTCCAGATGATCGATCAGAACCTGCAGGTGGCCAAGTCGGTCAGGTCAGTGGCAAGTTGCGTGACCCAGACAGGTCATTCGCGGGGTCATATCGTAATTGTCGCTTGGGTACAATTATGCGACATTGTTTTTGGAGACTCTGATATCGTGTTCCAAAAACAACCGTTGACATTGTTATTGGAGTATCCTATCTGACATTGCTCTTCGGTGTCCGACAGTGACGACTTTGCCATGCAAGTGTTGTCCGTCAGTCTGTCGCAAGTGACCAAGTTCTGCAGTGACTATCGAGAAGCCATTGTCGCTTACAAGGGCCAGCACTTTACCGACCGTAGTCTGGTGAGAAAGCCACAATTGCAACGCATTCTCATTGAGTGGTTTTCTGACTTGTCTGGTGTGCGAACTTTATTCACTTTTCCGTAGTGTGGTGAATGTGGCGAGTATTTCAAAGTTTGTCTATTTTACCGAATGCCAGTGTTTTCCACATCAGACGGCCATTTCTGCCGTCGGGAGGAAAAAGCCGTATCTGGGGCACTTTTTCGAATTGAAAATTGTTCAGGAGAGGCAAAAACGCGTTTTTTGTTATAAAATTCGTTAACTTTGCTCAATAAAGAAACAAAACATACTGCAGTGATCGGAAAGAAATTTTACATCCAATGAAAGTGGTTATAAAAGGGAAATTATTTTAACCTAACAGCAAAAGGCGAAAAACTTTTTTGCTTCCAATTCAACCCCGAGTTTGCAGAATCTTTCTTTCACGAAAAAAGCCGTATCGTGGAAGAAAGCCGCATCGTACGAGACAAATGAACAATACTGTCATGAAAAAAGCCGTATGTCTGATACATTGGTTAACCGATCGGGAATAAAGCCGTATCGCCATTTTTGTTTAACCATATTGTCGTCAAAAAGCAGTATCATCGGTGCATGGTATTGACACTGCATATGGTTCATAAAAGTACTAAAGCAGTTCCGCTGCTGGTTCCGTCCCACTGCTTCAGTTCTCAAGTATGGATATTTAATTGAACGTTCAATACAAAAACAAACATGATACCCATTTTAAACTACATCATCCATGCATAATCCCATTATTGTCGTAACTTTAGGCTCTTGGATTCTGATTGCGCAGGGTGCCATCAAAACACAGCTTGACCAACCGACCAGGGACGTAGCCAAGGGGGGCACAGGGGCCATGCCCCCCTCTAAAGGCGAAAAATAAAATAAAACTTAAAAAAATAACCACAGCTGCACCACACCCCAAAAGATAGTGGGCCAAATCCGAGGAGTTTTCCTTTTCTGGAGGGGCACGACACTAGGCCGCGACCTGTGGCCCCTCCATGAGCAAAATCCTGGCTACGTGCCTGCAACCGACAAGGGGAATCACGAATGCTGTCTTTGTACGGTGCTTCAATTTTCGATTACACTGGACTCCAGAGAGTTAATTCTGAGCCACCGATATATTCGGAGAGATGAGTGTGCCGGTCTGCCGCTGCGCCGGAGCCACGGCGACAATGTCGAGAGAACCGAGATAGTGTAGTTTCCCATCGTCGATCTGCAGACCTAAAAGCACTTCAAGGGGGCAAGAGACGATTAGTGGGAATGTTGCTGATTAGCTGGACACAAGGTTCCCGGAAGGAAAAGGGACGCTGTTAAGTCACGTGGTGCGCAGCTACAAGCACGGAACCGCCCGGCTCCTGAACCAAAATAGAGGATGGTGTAGAACTTCAGGAATTCCCGTAAAGAAACTGCATCTACAAAGCCTGTGCGAAACATCTAGGGCGACAGCACTGTGCCGCGGCTGAGGGTGTAAGCAAATGCCGCCTCATTGTCGGAGATCGCTAGACTGCTGAGAGCTCCACACGTCTGCGGGAACGACCTTTAGAGGGCGCACCCTCAATGTGCACTCGTATTCACAGGGCTCTGATTATAGCGCCTACTGCAACAGAGCAGAGGGCTATTCAGTACGCCTTGCTGCATCCTCCACCGGCCACAGCTGTGCTGGAAGGCTCTGGGCAGCTGCCCGTAGAATATGGCAATGTTGGGCTTGTGTGGGTGCTACAAGGTAGCCTAAATTTCCAATATGATTGAGCATCATGGGTATGAGGGAGCCGGAAAGAAGACGGTAAAGTCATTGACCAGGAATGGAAGTGACAGGGGATGACGGTCCCAAAGATACATGGGCGTGGTCACAATTATCACAATGAATGTGACGAGGTTGGCAATAGCAATCGACCTTTCACGGTATTCAACTACATCTTCAACGGTTTTACGACAAAGATTGTAGGTCGTCGTACTAAGCGTGCCGGCTACGAGTACGAGCTGCATGTCTATTGTCTATGATGATTACCGGGTCGAACTTAACATGATGCTATTTTGGTTGTGGGTTAAGGTGGGGACAGGGAGGCCAAATTAATCATGGGGGAGGCTGGGTCGGGTATTTTTTATTGGAATTTTAAACGAAGTTGGGAAAAGAACGGTCGGATTATACTAACGCTCCCGGCTGGTTAGCACATACATCAAAATACTGAATGCCCGGCACCCTGCTGACACCACCGAGCTGGCAAAGTTCTGTTGGCTTCAAACTTCTCAAGTTCACTCCCTATTTTATTTCAATTAAAATTCCCCTATAAATGGTCACATATTGCTACGATCACGTAGCATGTTTGTGTAAATATTCAACTGTTCCGTCCAGGATATGCCGAAGCCATGCTAAATGAGTAGATACGGCTTTCTTCCAAACTGCCTGGACCAACGATTTGGCTCATATTTCACAGGCCACCATCAAATAAAAGCCGTATCTACAAGATACGGCTTTCTTCCTGACTTATCAGTTCCACATTCTTTGTTTGAAATTTTGTATAAATGCCGTATCTGCCGAATTTAAGGATACGGCTTTCTTCCTGCGTGTTTTGCTATCCCTGATGTAACAAATCCGTTTTTGAATTTTTATATTATATATAATATTTTCATTTTTGAGTGTACACATGTTTGAGCAGTACCATTAAACGCATCATGAAAAGAGCTTTCCAACGATATCAAAAACGAAAAATCGATAAAAATGCGACTTACGGCTTTTTTCCTCCCGACGGCAGATTTAGTCTACTGATATTTCGGCGGCTTGTTTGCGAGCCTCCTGACGTATTGACAGATGACATATGCCCTCTGTACCTATGCCGCAGATCCGCTACTTCACCCACTACATGATCGCCATCGTCAACAACTGCTCCAGCATCATGGAGCTGGCCAAGCAGACCCGGGACCGCTACTGGAAGCCGCTCTCTAACGACTACGGAGTGGCGCGCTCCCTCGAGACGCTGCTGTCGACGTACCAGGCGAGTCTCCCCCCTATAACGCCCTGCCGACCCGTCTTCAGTGAGTACAGTTCATTGCCGTCCCAGATGTGTACTGAGTGCTGCAGTGTTTGTTCTCCCCCGTGTCCAGCATCATTTTTCCCGACTCTCTATAGGTAACGCTTTGCCGACCCGATTCATTCACCGATTCATTGTTGACGATTCCCCCGTCCGCTGACATTCCCCCCGCCTTGCCCCTTCGGTCATCAGAAACTAGGCAACGACAGTGCCGGTTTCCTGCTGGAGGAGATGGCTCTGGACCTGGAGCCGCACTTCCGTGACCTGCTCACCCGCCGGTGGATGGGCTCGCCGGAGGCGGTCAACACCATCTGCGCCACCGTGGAGGACTACTGCCACGACTACGTCCACCTCAGGCCCGAGACGTTCGAACAGACGGTGGCTGACGCCCTCCAGATGATCTACCAAAAGTATCTGGCCGCGCTGCTCCAGAAGAGAATCACCTTCAAGTGAGTGAAAGAGACGGTGCCCGAACCTAATGGCTGGCTGTTTTTGTTGAGGGTACGAGGCGGATAGAGTTTAGCTCGTGAGGGGCATGAGAAAGACGTCTTCCATGTCTGGATGCTTGGGTAGTGCAGCTGATGTCGGGGTAGGGCTGAAATTGAGCTGATGCTTGGACTGAGTTTGCGATAGTGGGGTCACTGATCGTCCACTTTTAGCTGACCATCGAACGCCCACCGTCTACTGGTCCATCTCTCTCACCCATTATGACTGAGTTTGACTAAGGTCCATTGAGCTTTCACTTTCCACTGACCATCGAGTCTGAGCGCTGTCCACTGTCCACTAATCCCTGACCGCTCTTCCCGTCAGGTCGCCCGAGGAGCGTAAGGCCGGCGCCGACAAGATCGTCTCGGACACGTCCCAGCTGGTGGAGACGTTCGAGCGCATCTCGCCGGCCAGCGTCTCTCGCGAGGAGGACAGTCCGGACGCCATTCTCCGAGCAATGACCGAGGTGAGGTCCGGGCTGTGGTTGGCGCCGCCTCCTAGGGCGTCTGTCAGACACACACAGTCTCTTGTATTTTATCTCGCACAGGTTTCCCCGCTGGTTCGTCTGGCCGATCGTCTTGCTGGTCAAGTTTCATCACCGCCTTCCCAGTACGTTGCTCCGTTCGGTTTCCCCGGTCCGTCTCCCCTGTCCTCCCCTCTAGCTCGCTTGAGCTCTAGTTCGTCCCCTAATTCATATCCCCTTTTATGCTTCGTTTACCTATCCAGTCAGTCTCCCATCCATATGTCCGTGTGCTGATTGTCTTTGCAGCCGTTATGTGTGCTAACCACTGCGGCCTACACTCATGTAACCTCTCCTCCTCCCACCCTGCTCCCAGGTGCTGCGTGTGGAGGACGCAGACCTGCTGACCCTGGAGCTGCACGGTCTGCTGCGCCACTGTCCGGACGCCAGCTCCGACCACCTGACCGGCCTGCTGCTGCTGCGGGGCGACCTCGGACGGCTCGAGGTAAGACAGCGTGTCCAGCAGCTTCTGGAGGCCGCCCCGCCGTCCGGCGCGCAGCCCGCCACCACTGTGATGTCGCAGGTGCAGCTGCCCAGCGGCCTGTTCCAGTTCACCTGAGCTGCGGGATTGTCCGGCCGGGCGTGGATCGAGAGGGGTTCGGTGTGTGAAGAGGACAGATGGACAATGTGCAGCCACTGCCACCATTATGGCCCGCGAAGAACCGTTTGTCTGTCTGCTCCTTCTCCTGAGGGTATGGTCGAAGAACTGAACTCCAGCCGCCGTGTGTACACATACGGGACTGCTATCAGCTGTGCGGAAGTTGGTTTGCTGAAAAGAAGCAGTGACCCTATTGTGATCACCGATTCCGTCAAAATGCTCGGCTTTAGATGTCTTGGAACAGTGGAGCTGAGAATTGAAATGAACAGTGTATGAGGTATATCAAACTGTGGTATCTGATGGATGCTTCCTGTGCTTGAACGGCATTCGTATGATTATTACCGGCTATGACTGTTGCGATTACTATTCATGTATCTGAGTCTTTGTATAGATTGTTTATTTGAGATCCCGGGTTTTGTCTGTGTTGGGCTGATCTTCAGAGCCTGATTAGTTGTTTCGTAAAGTGACCACCGCTATATGTGATGGACGCTGACCATTACAGATGTAAGACCTTATTTTCTTATATGACCGATATGTGTGTTGAGAGCTGACCAATGTAGGCTAAGCCCACGTTATGCGTGGTGCACGGTACAGTACACAGTTAAAACGTGTGAGTGCTAAGCAACGTGTCTAGATTATTCAGTGCTTGCCCTCTTGCTACCACAATTGGTAAAAGTAAAATAAAAGAAAATAAATTTTCACACGTTATATGTGACCGCATTCTTTTGAAAAGTTTTTAGCTCGAAATTAGAATTGAAATGTCTGAATCTTGTTCTTCGTTGTTTTATCACTGTCTTATATCTTGGCTATCATTCGACCCGCATTGCAATATATATTAAACCGCGAGTAGGTAGATAGACGTCAAATCAGTTTAACGACATCTGATAATTTTCTCTCTTTGCACGTGAAGGCTGAAGCAATTGTAAACACTGTCTACGGTGCGGGATAAGACCAAATAATATATTGTGCTTACTATGCTTGTATCGGGATATTTTGGACAGTGGTACGATGTGCGAATTGTGTGAAAATTTTTGGCCCGCGTGATTGTGTCTATTGAACAATGGGTGTGGTCGTTCTCAGCTAACGTATCCGGACAATGGATCGTCTTTTTCCATCTTTGTATCGTCTTTCCAAGCCAGATAGGAAGCTGAACTTTGGCCATAGTGGATGTTTTCGAACCGGGCATACGAGTACATACATTCGAACGGGCTGCTGTACTCACGAGTCACGATCTTGCATTTAATAAGAAGTTGGAGTGTCATTCGCTGGGAGATTCACTGATGCCATATTTTTCTAAACGCCTGATACAACTAGGCTACAGTTAAAGGGCCATGTTTTACCTGCTTTATAATGCCGAAACTTTTACTGAAGCCGGCGGTTTTATGAGTAGTACAATAATCTTGGGTTTTATGACTGCATGCTCCACAGTGTCATACCATAGCCCACTGCACATGTATAATTTAGCCTCTATTGGTCATTTGCGAGGAGTCGAACGGATGCGCAGGCAATCACGGCCGTCCCTAAAGACCTAATAGACAACAAAGTGCTGGTAATCACTAGTACTGGGAAGGGATGGATGCCGGTGCAGTACGCCCAGGCTTTGGTTGTTACATAAGCCAGTTAATAAGTGAATAGTTGAGCGGGACAGGCGGTCCGTGGTGGTCCAACACTCCGCTGTCAGTGCGAGGAACGGCTGGCCGTGTCGAGGTCGGGACAGTATTACAAACCACTGTCCCGAGATAGGCGGCAACTGGTGATGGCCGGTCTTCACTTCGTGGGCGGAAACTGGTCAACGGAGAGTCACGATCCGGCCACGGAGCCAGAGCTGCGAGTCGCGGCTTTTCATGATCCTCCATTCATCTGGATAAACTCCAGCCATGATGGCGCTGTCACTTATGAGGGCTATCTGTTTGATGTGTGGAAGACCATTGCCCAGTCTCTGAACCTCCGCTACCGTCTGGTACCCATGCTGAGAGGTGGAAACTTCGGCCGACTGGACGAGAACGGGACATGGACTGGAATGGTGGGAGAGCTGGTCTACGGGAGAGCCGACATTGCCCTTTCTTGGCTATCAATGAGAAAGGACCGATCAGAAGTGATTGATTTTTTGGACGCTGCAGCTGTGGAAGAAGGCGCAGGTGCTTTTTACGTCAGCAAGAACCCGGATGATTATCTCAGCCTGGGCGTTGAGGCTTTCAGCTCTTTATTGAAGCCGCTTCACGTGTCGGTCTGGTGGATTGTTCTCGGTGCATTCTTACTGCTCTCACTGGCGCTGAGGTTCTCCATTCGACTGAGTAGGACCGAGGACAGGCAAACCAGCACAGAGATGACGTGGACGACCTGCCTGCTGTCTGTGTTCGGGTCGCTGGTCGGCCAGGGCTGGCCCTCGGTGCCCAGCTCTTTGTCCGGCCGTGTTATCACAATGCTCACCTGGCTCCTGTACATCATCATCGTCAACAGCTACACGGCGACAATGGTCTCTTACCTAACTGTCGTCGAATTTGATCGGCCTATTAGCAGTCTGAAAGAATTCCTTGAACGTCCCGACTGGAAGCTGGTGGTAGACCCCGGCCACAGTGTTTTAACTGACTGGAGAGTGAGCAAAGATCCATATGAAGTGCAACTGTACCAACGAATTATTACGAGGGATCGCTTTGTTCCTTACGAAACAAAGGCAGAAAGGGACCTCCATTCACTTGAGCCTAGAACACTGAGTTTCCTCAACATCAAGCCGATGTTCCGCAGGATTGGCAACAAAGCGTGCAAACTCATTTCCTTACGTGATAGCCCTATATGGGATAAGAAAAGTTACATGGTCGTCGCTAAAGGACTTGGCAATCTCAGAAAATCTATGAACCAGGTGTTGCTAAGAATGAGTGAAGGGGGCATCGTTTTGCGACTGAAGAAAAGGTGGATCCAGCTATCCGACGTGTGCACCGGTACCGGTGACGTGGCGCCGTCGCCGATCTCCCTGGGCAACTCGTTCGCACTGCTGATTATGATCCCCATCGCCGCTGCGGCCAGTCTGGTCATTCTTCTGATGGAGTGCCTCTTGTTCAGCTGCTCTTCAAAGCGAATAAAGCAGAAGACGGGATAGTGCTCCAAAACGACCTCAACACCCGATTAGAATTACGGTCAACCAAGTGGGGTCCGACACTGAACGTAACTCTTGACACTGAGCAAGTCGCTTACGTTTAGTGTTTACAGTGACCCTCAGGCGCGCGCCCTGACGAGTTACTGCATTTCCGGCTCGGAGCTCGATAATGCATCGGATATAAGGGAGAGGGGCGTCGTTTTGGACACGAAGCTCACTTTTGCACCGCACATCTCATTTTGACAACGTCGTGAGCCATGCCAACCCAACCGTGCTCCAGCTCCACTCATTTCAAACGGTCCAAAAATTAATGTTTAACGTCACGACTCTGGAAACGGCTCACTGTTCAAACATCCGTTTCATCCTGTAATATCAAATAAACACTGAGAAAAAAAATGACTCTATATGGGTCAAAACTCTTGAAAATGCTCCCCTGAAAACTCCTGAAAACCATTGATAACACCCTTTCAGCAGAGTTATTGAGTGTGTTCTAGGGTAACTTCGAGCCTTCCTCATTTTGCGAAAGAGTTTTCAAGAGTTATGGAATTGTTTTATACACCGTCGCTGCAGCCTGCAGCGCATCTATGTGCTGTGTTTTTCATTGGTCGTTTAAGGTGTATGTATAGCAGTTACAAAACTGCACATTGCACATTGTGCCAGCTTTAATGACGAATATCACTCGTTACGAAATGCCTCACTACGCCTATTTTCGCTGCAAAGGGTCACCGAGTTGGCCATGTTTTACGGCATTGTTTCCAGAAGTGTATGCTGTTGCGTTATCGTTTCTTTCGAATTGTCTTTAATGCATGCTGGCCGCTGCTTTGCGATGCCGGAACTCCCTCACGACTAATAGCGTCGGTTACTCGCGCGGTGTCCCACTCTTTAGTATGTCTATTATGGATGTCTACCATTCCCCGGAGGCGGCGGCACGATAAGTGTAGCACTCTACACCATTATATCTTCATGTGGTAATTTGCCCCTCAGTCGGCGCTGAGGAGTCGGGGGCGGGCTCGCGGCTCAGGCCGGTAGTCGGTGGTACACGCGCAGTACGGGTTGTTGGTGAGCCGGTGAAGGGCTCAGTGCAGGACAGTCAGTGGTACGAAGGATACGAGAGTGACACAGCACACAAACCACTGTCCCTAAGGGTAGTGACAGAGCGCGATGGCCGGTCTTCACTTCGTGGGCGGAAACTGGTCAACGGAGAGCCACGATCTAGCCACGGAGCCAGAGCTGCGAATCGCGGCTTTTCATGATCCGCCCTACGTCTGGATACACACCGGCCCTGACGGTTCTGTCAGTTATGAGGGTTATCTGTTTGATGTGTGGAAGGCCATAGCCCAGCCGCTGAACCTCAGCTACCGTCTGGTACCCGTAATGAAGAGACAGTTCGGACGGCTGGATGAGAACGGGACATGGACTGGACTGGTGGGAGAGCTGGCCTACGGGAGAGCCGATGTAGCCCTGACCTGGCTCCACAAAAGGGCGGACCGATCGGAGGTGGTCGAATTTTTGGACGCTGCAGCTGTCGAAGAGGGTGTCAGCACCTTTTACGTCAGCAAGAGCCTGGATGCTAATCTCAGCTTCAGCGCTGATGGTTTTAGCCCTTTACTAAAGCCGCTCCACGTGTCAGTCTGGTGGATGCTGCTCGGCGCGTTCTTACTGCTCTCACTGGCGCTGAGGTTCTCCATTCGACTGAGTAGGACCGAGGACAGGCAAACCAGCACAGAGATGACGTGGACGGCCTGCCTGCTGTCTGTGTTCGGGTCGCTGGTCGGCCAGGGCTGGCCCTCGGTGCCCAGCTTTTTGTCCGGCCGTGTTATCACAATGCTCACCTGGCTGTTGTACATCATCATCGTCAACAGCTACACGGCGACAATGGTTTCTTATCTAACAATTGTCAAAATCGAACGACCGATCAACAGTCTGAAGGAATTCTCGGAAAGATCTGACTGGAAGCTGCTGGTAGACCCTGACCATGTTGTTTTAACTGACTGGAAAGCGAGCAAGGATCCATATGTGGAGCAATTATACCAGCAAGTTATTGCAAGAGATCGTCTGGTTCCGTACAGCACCGTAGCCGAAAGAGACCTTCTTTCGCTGAAACCAAAGACACTGAGTTTCTTCAACATCAATCCATTGTTCCGTAGGATCGGCAACAAAGCGTGCAATCTCACCCGCTTGTATGATTTCCCTTTAAAGGGTGTTGCAAATTATATCGGCATCGCCAAAGAGCTTGATGCTCTGAGAAAACCAATGAACCAGGTTTTGCGAAGGATGAACGAAGGTGGCATCGTTTCGCGACTGAAAAAGAAATGGATTCGGAAGGCTGATTTGTGTCCCCGTCCAACCGAGGCGACACCAATCTCTTTGGTCAACTCGTTCGCGCTGCTACTTATCGTCCCACTCGCCGTCATGGCCAGCTTAACCATACTCTTGATTGAGTGTTTCTTGTCCACATACTCGGCAAAGCGGCTGAGGCTGAGTGCAAACCGGCTAAACTGGCAACGCATGAGCAAATCCGCCATAAATGTCGACAAGGACTTAGCATCGGCATCTGTTGATGTCTGAAATGTAGTGCACCTTTTTTGGCTGTCTGTGTTGCGCTGTACGTGACGTTCCGCGGATGATTCCTCCTCATGCCCCCCCCCCCCTCCACTAGGGCGAAATGGCTGAGACCGCCACTGGGGCGCGGGTTAAATATAAGGGAGTCAACAATTGGTTTCACTGTATTCGGCCTCCTATGTACCTATGTACATAGGAAGTACCTATGTATGTACCTATGTATGTACCTATGTACCTATGTACTCCTATGTACTATATAGTCCCTCCAACCATTTTCCGAATTTGTCACCCTGCGCGGTAGGTATTGCAATGTTTGACCGGAAGGGGCGTCGCCTTGCCACATAGGTCAGCCGCTCGGTCGGTCGGCGCTTATCGCTGTCCTTGACCGCGCGCCGCCCGTACTGGGGTAGCTGCACCGTCCACAGACGGGCGGGCAGACCGCCGCGCTGTCGATGCCCGCCTAACACCGCCGGGGTCAGCGGAACTGCAGCCGGGCGCTCGTTAGCGATTGTGACCGTTTGACTATCAACATATCCCTAACAAACACACTCGTAAGCCAAGTGCAGGGCAGTGCATGGCTGGAAGCGATATCACCGCGATGGATATAGGCGCGGGAACCGGGGGGGGGGGGGGGGGCAGTGGGGGCAGATTGCCCCCACAACTCTGGGGTCGTGGGGGCGGTGCCCCCACAGCTTTGATACGGAATAGGTAGGTACCACACTTTTTATGCAAATGTTTTCTTTTTTGTTGAAAAAATCAAGCCCAAGGGGTGGTAAATAAGTAGCCTAAAACCAGTGAGAAAACTAGATTTGTGGGTACCCTAGGTTGATATCTATCGTGGTGTGCCCCCCCCCCCATCTGGAAGTAGTTCCCGCGCCCTTGCGAAATGCGAATGGATGCCAAGATCGCTCAACGTATTGACATCCGACCATTGTTTTCTTTAGAACGGAAGGAGTGAGTTACCCTAACGATCTTTAATCTATCGTGAAATTGCACCGGGTTAATTTGATGCTTTTTTCAGAACGGCTATTAACTAGGCAAAGTCATATCACTCAACACAATCAATCGACATAATCATAAATAAAGTTGCACCTAAAAGTTAATAACATATTACCTGCAGCTTCTTTCTTTCACGTACACCATCGCGCGCCCGCACGCAATGCCGTTGGGGCCTCCTACGTTGGAACAAAAAGAGAGTGATTGACAGACGATATCCTATCGTGTTCCCGGTCTTGGCGAGCGGGGACAGTGGGTGAAAGATATGTAGGTACCAGGGTAGGTACTACACATTAGGTATGTATTGGATTCTGACGTTTTTTTTCTGCGGGATTTCGGCTCGCGTCGTAAAGTTCGTCCCATAGCAAATACATTGCGCCAGCTACACTGCCTGTCTGGTCTCCCGTGGAACGAAATCCCGCAAAAACCGAGTCTGAAGAAGAACCGAAAAAGTTAGATTTGCTTTTTTCGGTTTCTGTGGGATCTTGTGTTAGTGATGATCGACTAGAAATCATTGTGGTCAATTAGGTAGGGGGTCAAGATGGAATATGTTTTTAATTAGATTAAATTGATGAAAACAATGTGAATAATGATAAGAAGTATACTGAAAAAACAACATAAGAATAATAAAACAGCGAAAATGTGATTCTCAACTTACATTCTTCTAACTTCACGCATGATTGTCGGTTTGTAGCTGACGAATGATTAGGGGAAGCCGGGGGAAGCCCGGCATAGTAAGCTCTTTTTCATTTTTATGACATACCTTGCGTGATGTATAAAATGTTGATATCCTGTTGGCTAGATAAGTTAATTGGCCGTGTTGTCCCAAAAACTTGGTTTTGTGGAAATAGTATAAAGTTGCGAAATTAGAGTTTAAAAAAGTGTTAATTTTTCTGGGGTGAGCCCGGCATAGGGGTAACGCCGTCCACCTCTCCAGCGCTTTACAGCGAGTTGATGAAACCATTATGTCTTCCAAATATTGACGGAAAGTGTAAGTGTAAATTAAGGTACTGTTTAGCTCTGGACATCTTAGAGTTTATCTCACTACTGCAAGCTAGCGTCTATCACATATAGAGCACAGGTCGATGAAAATAATGATGCAAAATTGACAACAAAATGTGTATTTCAAAATTCCTTAAAATTTATTTTTTATTTACCTAACTGCATCAAATCCCTCGCCCGCACATGGGGGGGGGGGGTGGTTGCCACCCCCCCCCAGGTAGTCTTTCTGCTCTGCACTCGACATTTTTAGAGCTAGAAGGCTGATTTTTCGTATAGCTGCTCCTCTATCCTTTCTTGATGTCCACTGAAAATTTCAAGTTTCTGTGATTTTTGGTTTCGGAGATATGACCTTGTTTTTCAGGCCATGTCATGACCCAAATGGCCAATTCTCAACATCTTGCGTTTGCCATGGGCCTTGTGGGCTTTTGACACCCTGATTTCGGCCTTTTTTGCCAGTCTTACCTCCCACCTATCATGGAACATGTTGTTCGACGATGTACAGGGGTCAAGGTCAGGGTCAAGGTCAACCTAGGTCATCTAAGATAATTGCGTTTTAGGCAAGCTGAATTTACTTTTTGTGAAGTTTTTTGACTGCATTTTTGGTAAAAGCTTCTCAGATCATGATTTCATGTAATATGGACCCAAAAACAATCGGTGCACACACCAGTATACACACAGATACACACAGACATACAAACACATATAATTGACCTTGACCTAACTTGACCTGAAATGACCTCAGCAGCAAAATTCTGGTCGGGTAGTGTGACAAAGAGGTTCTAGCTGGCTTGGCACCAGAAAACAGCATCGTCATCGGTATTTGATAAGCAGCGCACTTGATATCCAACGGTGACCCAAAACAGCAACATTTTTTAGTTTGACCTGACCTGGAAGGTCAATGACTGACCTAAGGAGGTAAAACTGGGTATCATTGGATTCGTCTCTTCCCAAAGAATCTTTTTGGTCTTTACCGCTAAGCTCTATCTCCAACAGGAACGAAATGGCGCGGGGGGGGGTGGCAACCCCCCCCCCCCCCATGTGCGTTCTAGGATGGGAAAATGGCATGTGCGGGCGAGGGATATTGCATATCATTCGACTCGGCTGATGAAGAAGAACACAACGACACCATTTTTGAAGCTCTAGTTTCATCGTTATTTGCAAAAACGTAGTTTGACCCTAGTTGACCTTAAGTGACATGACTGTTCTTGTAGCATACAAACATAAACTTAGTCACTTATTGATATAAACTGATGGAGGGTAACTAAAAACCGTTAAAATGGAGCGGATATCTCCCATATTTTACAGTAAAAACCAGGCAAGTAATCGCCCTTCATCCATACCTGAAAGGCAGGCACTGGAATAGAGCGACAGGCCGAAGAGGCTTTGTCTCGGAAACGGGGTGGCCGGGCTTCCCCCGCGCCCGGGGTTACCCCGACTTCCCCTACTGTCGTAAATATATTCATGGTTACATGCAAAAATTTCAAAACAATTATTTGTTAATAGTTTTGCAAAAATACGAATACCGTAAAGTGGGGCTATTTGAAACGGATTTTACAGTTTTTGGCCTCTCCCTTTAAGGCGGTTCATATTTCTTATAGCATGTAACTTGCAAAAATGTAGTTCCCTGTGAGCTGTTTCATATAGGCGCATTTTGCTTCAGCTAGTGATAATAATTAAGGATATTTTGTTAGTTAAAGCCTGTCTCAAATAGCCCCATAGGGTGGGGCTATTTGAGACAGTTTTAGTTACGAAGAAATTGAAGAAAATTGGTCACGCTAGGGATAATTTTTTAAACGCCACGCGATTGGAAAATAAATTTTGATCATTCTGGCAAAAATTATTTTTGCAAAGACAGTTATATTTCCTTTGTATTCAATCTTTTCCTTTTTCGTAGGATGCTTCATTTCGGTAGGTTATAAAATTGCATCACTATATGCTAAGGCTAGCATAATATGATGTGACCCTTAACTTTCAAAATGACAGGATGATCATTAAGATTTAAGGACCATTTCAAAGTCAACGACAGTAAAATTTTGAAAAAAAAGTTTTCGTATATAACCCTGGTGGCGTGAAAACAGAGATACTGAAAGTCGGTGGGGCTATTTGAGACAGGCTCGCTACCTTATGAAGCACACTGTAATGAATCAAACGAGCTAAAATCTTTCCCAAAACATTTAAGTGAATGGTTTGCATGATTCCTTGTTCAATTGCACATCTTCGTGCGAAGAAATAACAGAAAAATGTTAAGCGGTTTTGATTTTTTGCCGATTTTCCTCGATCGCTGCATTCTGTATCAATTGGCCGGTTACCCTACCACATCAAGTACTTGCATAGGCTCACCTAACAGGACGTTCTTGTGTTAAGTAATCTTCAGTGGTGTTTTTGGTCAACCAAGGCAGACATGTGTTGATTGTCACTAAGCCAGTGACTGATGAAGCACATTTTAAGCACATATTCATCAGAATAACTAGTTTGGTCACCAGCTAAAGGGTCATTATGTTGTACTACGAACATGTAAATATTGCTTGCTGCTAAAAGTACCCAACATGAACCCACTGCACGTTTATAACTACGACCGATTCAGCAGTGCTGCTCATGTCGAACGTTCGATGCACTTCAAGTAGATGGTGATAAGTCTTCTCGGGTGCAATGGCATCACCATTATCAGTAGTTATTAGGCATATCGGTTGAGGTTTGACCAGGTGGGCATCATCGGGATTCTGAGACAATGGGTTGCGCAATCGGCAGTAACGTTAACTATGTATAATATTTTCATGAAAAATGTGCTTAGCCTATAAGTAAAACGCTAGTAACGATAGATCCAGTAGCGAAGCTGTCAAAACTTCAACCATGTTAAGCTGCAGGTATAGGGGTCCTTTTCGAGCAACTTAAATTGTGCGTTTTTCTGTATTTCGTATTCTATGCCAAATTTCTTTCAAAACTTTTCGAAATTTTCAAAAACGTTATTCAGGTCATTCACTGTTCAATTCCACATCAGCCTAAGCAAAAATGACGAAAAAATATCAAACGGTTTTCATTTTACAGCGGTTTTACTAAACCACTACCTTACTGTCTCAAATAGCCCCACTGTCTCAAATAGCCCCACTTTACGGTACATATAACATAAGTATTTTCGTAACTTGATCACTTTATCATCACTATCCTATAAGCAAAGCCGTCCACGTCGAGGCCGCCCTGTACGAAAAAAAGCGCGGAAACCGAAATCCCGCAGAAGCCGAAAAAAAAGCTGCTAGTGTAGCCTGAGCGAGGCCTCCAGGCGAGTCCTAATATACATCTGAGGGCGTACCCTGACGTCTGAGGTAGCCAACTGCAGCTCCAATGGTCTAAGTCTTAGGAGTCTCACGTGAGTCCAGTTTTGCTAGGAAACGTTTTACTGTTGTTGTGTTTTTTTTGCATTTAACTTATGGTAAAAAAATATCCTCAAAGAATCCCATTGATGAATCGA